TGCAGTACCTTAACATTTATTACAGCATATCTTTTTGCCCCCAGCTGCTTAATCAACGTGTTGATTATTTTTTTGTCTCCAATTTTGGTGATCTTTTAAACAAAATACTTTTTCTCGTAATTCATAAGGAAGCAACACTTCCCTTAAGAATCTTATGAATTCATTAAATTTGGATCAGTTAAAATGATGAAATTAAATTTCAACAAAGTGAACTTGACCAAAGTATGTTGGAGATAAGGAGTAGAGTATTTTAAGCATGAGGGTGGAAAATTAGTGACAGATGCCTCTCTCACCTATCCACTGCCTCTCATCCAGGGGTTGGTGTCATTGTAGTGGACATCTCCCCTACAACTGCGTATCCGCATTCCAATGCAACAGTATCCTAGCAACCAAACGAGCGGCCCAGGGGGGGGCGTCACCAGATGCCACAGTATCCTAGCAACCAGCCACCTGCTACGTCTTCCCTAGCAACGGAGTCAAGAAACCGGCGAGTTCCCACGGATTTACTTCCAGCGGCTGTGTATATAAGCTGTCTCTCCATTGAGATTCATTCTGGCCTCGGTTCCTGAACACGCAACACCTCCTCCTCCGCCGCTGCCTGGCGGCCCTCGCTTCTCCTCCGCCTACCTGGCGGTCCTCGCTCCCGCTGGCAAGCATGGCGACCCACCAGCTCTCTTATTCTACTCTACGTTCCTGAACACGCAACACCTCCTCCAAGCAAGCTCCTCGCTGTCCAGCTCTCATTCAACCTGGAGGCCAGCAACAGGCAACATCTTCTCTAACGAAGCTCCTGCACATCTACCTTCCTTCAGCACGCTACTCACCGAACGTGTCTACTGAGCAGCTCCTCACCACACGGCATCTCCAGCACCAGACTGTCTACCATATAACTATATTATATAAGAAAACCACCACCTTAGAGTTTCCATCCATCCATCCTGAGTGCTAGACAACATAATATCACGAAACCCTACACCATTATTACAAGACATGAGTGTTCATTTAGTTACTAGAATACTCAAATACTCTTAACAATGTGTTTACCATTACCCAAATTAAGTATTCATATGCAAGTGTAACTACTGTACTTTAGGAACACATACAGTATATATATATTTTCCAATTCATATCATTTGTTTACATTCAATTTCCTTTACAGACACCAAAGCTATTCCAACCACTAAATCAATGTTTTCAAAGTTACTATCGGTTAAAATAATTTTTAATATTTCTCATTCCATTCTGCAATATGATTTATTTAGTTGAACACCACAGCTTGCTACATGTTCACTGCTGGTGGAACTTACCACTCACCTTCCCAAAAAGTATAAACTAAATTTAAAATACGTTTAAGCTACTTTTTCTGTCAATGTACAGCTTTCTAATACAGTATACATCTGTAAATTTAAATTATCTGTACAGTATGTGGTAATGTCTATTCCATATAAACTCCCAAACTCTTTAACACAAGTCTGTGATTACATGTCACAAGTGAGGAGAAGGGAGTGCACGAGTGAATTGTGGCAAGAGAAATTACTGTCTGGAGGATGGCTTAATGAAACACATCTTCAGCATAAAGTGTATTAGATTACATTATTTTAAGTTTCAGTATGATATTTATCCTTTTCAGATCACTCATTAAATTTACAAATAAAGTAATGTCAATTAAGTTGCCTATACAGTAATTACCTTTCTAGTACAGAGTAAGATACAACAATACATTTTGTAATAAAGAAAATTAAAAACTTATATTTTCAATAAAATGTCCAATACAGTACTGTATATCCTGCAAAATACTCCACAGGTTAATGTGACATAGGTGAATCTGATCATTACATTATTCAAAGTTCTTAGTAATATTGCAAATGCCACATATTAATAAATGGATACATTCAACTAAATAAAATTCAAATAATGGAAAATGATGAGGGATACTGAATAATAATGGCATAAATTGGACCTCCTCAAAAAAAAAAAAATATTTATTGAATGTTGCAATAAATCAAGAACTTCCATCCTAACTCCATCATACCATTGTTATATGCTGTACCATTTATAAAGGCAATAAACTCACCTGCCATCATCTAAATAATATTCAACTTGAATAAAAAGCAACTGTGAAGACATTTCATCACTTAATTTGGGGCAGGCAGCCAAGTAGTAACCCACATGTCAGAGTACTGCATCTTGTGCACAATTTTGTTAAAGGTTCATTCAAAATTGGAAAAGTTACGTAGACACTTTAGCATACAAGTAGCGGTACCGAATTTTCTTATGAATTGTTTTAAATTTTCAAAACAAAGGAGGGGGAAATATCTTAAACGGGCAAACACAGCTTAGCAAGAATACCTAGATGTAATTGTAGGTGGTCAGCAAAACATATAAGCTAACATTATTACAATATCTTAATGACATTAATTCATATAAATTTCATGAAAAGTACAAGATGTAATTTATCTATATTAAATACTAACAGCCTCAGAACTGCATCTAACTACATGCCTTGGATGCCTAATAAGATAACCACATAGCAGAACCCTGTTAAAATCCTCGTATAAATCTGAATAAGCTACAGTACTTAAAATAACTGGTTTACCATCAAGTAAGGAGTAATGCTTCCATTCCCTTGTTACTGAAATGTCGAAATTTTTCTTAGTTGTACATTCAACTTGTTCATGTTAAATTCCCTCTAGGTACTTCTAATCATGGAATCGATCCTCTCATTGTTACATATAATAACTGTTACACATAAGATACCCTAATCTAACTGCTTATGGTAACAAATCCTGGCCCTGCAACACACTTTGAAATGCACACTGGCCTGCTAATTTGGATAGCATGGTTCTCTAGTTCCATTAATTATGGTAACTATGATTCTTTTACTCACAAGAAGCTTCCTTGAATACAATAACCTATTTAACCACTTTACTAAACTAAACCCTATCAGCATCCCCCCTACTTATGGAAAAAAAAATCAACACTGACATAATTCAGTTTATGACAAGAAATTCAATTTAGTTAGTTATTTCTTAGATACCAAACTGTCCATTTCACCTTTTCCCACAAAAATTGGAAAAAGATATATTGTATTATTACAGATTAGAACAAATATTGGACTAGTTTAATAAGTCACCATACATATTCTATACATGTATGACACTACTCGCTCTGAGCTGGACATATGCCCGAGCCATTCTTTTGACAGTCGAGATTGAACACACACTTGCTCAACAGATTGGACTGTTCTGATCTTCATGTGTAGTACAGTATACCCTACTTCATCACCATGACAAGAGATGGTTCAAGGATAAAATGAATGACTAGGAATATAAGCATTGCTAACATTGAAGTAGCCATCACACATTTTTGTATACAAATATGTTCATTTATGGCAAAACATATGTTCTTGCTTAACAGGACAGGGATGAAACAGTGTACAATGTATGTTCACAAAATGGCTGTCAATGTCAATCACATGGACTTATAAGTAGATGTAAATGGTTCAATTTCATGCCCAGAGAAACACTTCCCAGGAACCCACAAAAACTGAATCAGTCTGGTTTAACGTGGATTCCGTGCAGTTCTCGCCAGGGTCATACATTTCTATATGTTAGCAGGTGGTTAATGAAAAGGGTTGGGAGATCAGCATGAACCTCAAAGAACATTTTGGGAGTGAAATAAGATTTTACATGTACTGTACCTGAATACCAAACATGTCTTGCATATGTGATTTGAAGTTATGATGGCAAAATGAAGCTGAAAAGGATATGGTTAATGAATGAATAAAAATTCCTTAAGGGCAAATAGGTACACTAATGTTAAAGAATGACCCTGAGCATCTATAATTAATATGAAAAACTTAGGATAAAGTGAGGCCAGATTGAGAGATGAATGGAATGGAAGAATGAAACAATTTATTTGGTTAAGAAAAGCAAATTACTTTGTTCCACAATAACAAGTTTGTGGTGTAAACATACACAAGATTTCAGTTTACAAATGTAAAGTATTGTTACAATACCCAGAGATTTACAGTATGTCACTAAATATATCACACCAAAATTTATAAGCACATTCTTCGTTCTCATCAACTTTAATACTGTAAATATTTTAGCTACATCCTCTTCAATAAATGGTTGCAGACCCATTAAACCTGTCCTAATATTCCTCTCCAACTTAGCCCAAATTTTGGCCAACTTAACCATATACAGTAGATCGGAACCCCTTAAGAATGGACCCGAGTAAAATTGGTTTAATTGGGGAGCATTAGAATGAAGGCTAATCTGCACCGAGTCCCAATACTAATAGGACAGAGGAAGTTAGGGGCCCCTGTAGGATTGATGCCTATTAGAACTGGGACTCATTTGACCAATGAAGAAATTTCCTACTTTCAAGGTTCTCCACACTAAATGAACAGGGTCCTGTCACTTCTGTGTTGTTAATAGTGCCAGCACACATCACAAGAATGAAATCATATTCACAGCCCAGAACAATAAGGTCATCTTATAGGACTATAGACCAAGTATCACATATATTGTTAAACTCATTTAAGTTTGCATTACAATTCCTTTTCCAGTTCTTGAAATGTAAACAGCAAAATTGAAAGTTTATCATCAACTATAAATAGTATTCTTCCAAGTATAATTACAACAAGGCCTTTGAACAATGAAGTGTCTTCATAATATGGTTATACAGAATTACAGAAACAGTAGCTAAGCAGTACCAGGGTAAATGAAAAGATTTGGGACATTACCAAAATTCAACACATAACAAAATGGTTCCTGGACTGATTTTGGTAGAAATCCCTAGAACAAAAACCACATTGGAGAAATTTCACTATTAAAAAAATAAAATTCAAACAAAAACCGTATTATGCAGATAGAATTGTATAAAGTTCTTTTTAGGAATGAAAAAAATATTCTTTTCTTGTCTTTCTTCTGTTGCACTAAATTATTCCTTTAAACAAAGGCTTTGCAATAAAGGAAAAATATTAAACACAAAACCAGCTTTGAATTTTTAATGCCTTCAAAATTATCTAAGAGCAGTGATGACACAGCTAATTAGTGATAAAAATACAGATTAATTACATATTCCATGTCACCAAGTCCTCATACATTAACACTTCAAATATTATATTTCTGAGGCACAACCTAAGCACCACACGGGGTCCTTCATGCAGAATGTTCATTCCACACGGAGTCCTTCATGCAGAATGTTCATTCCACATGGGGTCCTTCATGCAGAATGTTCATTTCAATCATGTATGTGTTAACAAAATGAATCAGACTTTCTGTGGTGGTGTAGTTTACATAATTGGCATCATGGAGTCCTTCATATCATACAAGCAACTTACCAAGAGCCTACATATGGTTAGTTGTAATCTTTTAATGAAGAGACCAAACACTCCTACAGATTTTAACATTTAATAATTTGATAAGTTCACTTGCCTCCAAAGTCTAGTACCTTCTTCAATTCACCCTTTAGGACAGGCCAAAAAAAATTTGTGTAACTCCTTTCATAGGAAGTTATGGTCAATATGCATAATATCGCTTCCTAAATACACCGCTCACTGGTCTGCTCATTAGTGAACCCATGCTTCACAAATTGTGATACAGAGGTTCAGAATGAAGCGGTAAAATCCAGATGTGGATAAATAATGTCAATCCCTCTAAAACATAAATATTGCAAAATTCACTTCTCTTTCCTTATATGTTCCTCACTTTTAGGAAATTTCTCGGGAAGAAAGTCCTTATTGTGGTTCAATCGCTCCCTGAGTGATGTACGCATGTGACCAGCGAATGATTCTCCAAGCTGAGTGGCTGCTTCACCAGCTACACTGTCCATAACTACACGGTTCACACCTGCACCACGCATACTGTGCCGTAGCGTGTCTGGTTGGAAAATTAAAGTATTAAAGTTTGATGAACAAAATGATTCCTAATAAAGTACAATTATACTCTGAACACCCACCTGTGCATGTCACCACTATCAGTTTACAAAGCTGAAATAAAAATGGTTCACGACCTCAAAGAATACAAAATTTCAACCTGACATCACAACACACAAAAGGCAAAAGCCAAGAGACTGGATAGTGAATGTAACCTTAAATTAACAAGGTTGTTTCAAACCTCAAGTTAAAAAGTCTTACTTCATTTTATTTAATTTTATTTAAAGAATATATATGCTCAACGGCATACACATACAGGGTGAAAATACTACCCGACATACCCACCCTCCTAGAAATAAAAAACTATTAAAATAAAAATATAATTACCTTGAACAACCTGGTGCACAGACCCATGAGGTTTATGCTGTGAAGCCAACTTACGACGTTTTAGAGGCATACCACAGAGATAAGCATCACTTAAACTTGTATCTGGCACCCCTCGTCGTTGCCTCTCCACATCCCTTGTTATCACGGGGAGCCAATCCTGCAATATGTACTTCAAATTTAGTGTTGAAACACTTCTCTATTACAAAACAGTATATCACTTACAATTCAGGTTTCCATACATCTTGATTCACCCCAAACTTTTTTTTTTTCACATTCGCCATTAACTTTCTCCTCTTGAGACATTTCCAAAATTATTCACTAACATTTATACATTCCCCTTTGAAATGCTAACAAAGGCAGTATCAACCCCCTTCTCCAGTTCTTTTGTTTCTCTTACTGACCAATGTATAAAACATTCTCTTTTCTATCCATTTTTTCCCCCACTCCTTGGGGTATATCAACTCATTAATCCATCTCTACTGACCCATATCTAGTCTGACCTACAATATTCTGGGAGTGACCCCCTCTCTTTAAAGAAATATTAACACAAAGAAAACTTTCCTGTCTCAAATTGCCATCTACAGTAAAATAATGACACTAACTCCACTCTAAGATTTACCACATTGTATCAGTCAATGTCTTTGGTGCCTTACAGGAATCATTATAAAAAAGGCCTTTCACGAAAAATAACTACCAATTGTAAAACTTGCAGTGATATTAGACCAGGTATGACAGCCAGTATATGGTTCAGTGAAAGCATGATATGACCAATACACTTTTCCTTGGTCTGTCTCTTGATGTCATTATTGATGAAAATTTGAATGAAAATATTAAGGGTATAGAAGTGTGATGGTTTCAAAGTTAGCAAATGACAGTTAACATACAAGAAACAGAGCATGCATAGTGAGTACTGTACAGTATATGGAATGAGTGGAAGCTACTTGAGGCAGCCATGAAATTCTAAGGAAATTATGAAAATATGATCAGCTCTTCAATTGAATGAGAAATAAAGACACAGTAAGGACAAAACTTTTAACACATTACCTGAGGAACAGCTGAATGCCAAGGTTGTGTCCCTCCATTAATGATTATTGGCGGTTCTTCAGTTAATGAATCTTCCTCCTTTTCTCTATCAGTCTTTCCAGTTGCACCTTCTACAGCTATTTCTAACTCTGACTCAATTGCAGTAGTTGTAACTTCTTCCATGCAACCCACTTCCTCAACTTCCATAGGCTGGATTAGAGAAAACAATTATTACCAATATGCATCGGCTTTGATTTCACTCAAGAGCCTCTCCATAAAGCTCTATTTGGATCTAACAATGCAGACAGCATAAACCCAGTCACAGAGCCAAACTTTAAGTGATAGAAGGTACACATTACTATATCTGCAAACCAGAGAACCCCGTAAGTGTTTACTCAAAGGAGTCGATGGACGCATGATCATAGCAGCCAATTCAACTTCAAAACTTCAAGCAAAATATTATTACACCAATGTCCCCACTATGAGGATATGACCACTAGACTGCCAATACTTTTCTCTTAGACTCCATTGTAAACTGAACTGTGATAATTTGTTTCATTCTAAGGTAATTGCCATCAGTGATTTTTATCACTGAGGAGACATTACCTTCACTCTACATGGAATTTCAGAGAAACATCACTGGCAAAATGCTCTACAAATGTACTGATATATCAACTCTAATACGTCTATTCTAAGATCAAACTAAAATGTCAGAATAAGGACTCTTTCGTCAAACCCTGTTCCCGAGTTCTTTTCTGTAAATATTAGCCATTACTGACAAAGTACATTGCCATCTCCCAAAATTATGCTTTAATAGTAAGAAACTAAATGACTTTGGATTCATGTTAGTCAGAATGATTTGACAATAGCACTGGCCTATCTTCAACTATCATGATTTCCTAATAACTATTGTATAATCATTCCATGTCTGTATCTTTCTTTGCAAAGCATAAATATACCTTGAAAACATTGGTCCATAAGTGCAGCACAAACTTAATATCAGCTGACAGGCCTGCACAAGGACACTGATCATGATACTTTTGTCTATAACATCTAAGCAATTCTTAAACATATGCAAAAATTTAAGTGAGCTAATATTAGCTGTAATGAGATGCTAGATCACCAATGTAAAAAATAATTTAACAATTTAACAACTATTCTTATGTTATACTGGTCTGTTACACTGTCACACAATTGTGAAACATCTAAAAATTTCACATCAACAAAACCAACAAGACTGAACATACTTCTACTATAGGCCCATTGGAAGGCGCTACATTAATAACATTATCAGCAGCTGGAGTCTGCTCAGGGGCAGCAGCTGGTGGGGGAGCAGGCTGTGTTGTAACAGATCCATTTGCATTTTGTCTTCGGTTGCGTTCTTCTTCCATCCTTCGCCCCTCATCTGGGGACACCACATATCGCCGAATGTGATCATCTGTTATGGTCATTCGGCTCATCATGGATCTTAACTGCATTATTGATGTGTTGACAGACCATGATTGAATTTCTGGACTCACTCCTGCCATTATAGATCGCTGGAAGAAACACTAGCCTTAACACCATTGTACTGTATACATAAGCATGAAATAAGCTTTAAAATATCTAAAATAGAATACAGTAGACTATACAATTTCTATCTTTAAATAATGCTTAAGCTTCATGATGAACTACTAAACACTTACCATGATATCTAATTCTAAAGGCTTGTAATGAAAATCTTGCTCAAACTTTAAGTTACATTTTTCGAAGGAGAGGAAACCCCGGGCTCAAAAAATAACAAATAACTTTTACTCTTGCATTACTGGTACTTTCTTTTATGTATTAATTTCTAAGGTACAAACACATGATCCTGAGACATCTCAGGCTTCACCAAAAAGAGAAACTTACAACTCTTTCTTGAAGTACTCGCTCCAGACCCTGGGCACCATCCGTAAAACAGTGGAGTGAAAGAGCTATAAATTCCCCTAGTGCCCGACGAACTAATGACACCAGTGATGGCCCAAAGGTTTCTGCATCCGCTATTGAAAAATAAAAAAAATTACAAGTAACACCAAAAGAAACTATATATTAACAGCCACAAATACATAATTAGTATAATTTCAAATTAGGTACTGTATGACATTATAGTGAAGTCTGGTTAGTGGCAACTTCTGGTTACATGATGTCCAGTTAGTGTAAAATTCAACAGTAGACATGCACACACAAGGAAAACAATGAAATACCACTTACTATGATTTAATACCAAGTTGAATATATCATGTAGCCGATGTCGGATAAAATTGTGCACTGTGTTGACATAATCAATACCTTCATGCACATGTGCATCTCCCTGTAAAGATACAATGCTTGCTTTAATAAAGAAAATCCTGGATAAATCTACTCCACTCTGATAAGTTATGGGTCTAACTGGACAGTGATAAGGTAACTATACCTGTACAGTAAAGTCAAAGCCTTTCTCACAAGGTGCAGGAAGCCAGAATCAATTGTTATTTGGACATCTCTTTAATATAAGAGTCAACATGATCTGTGAGTTCCTCCTGTTGATGGAGCCTATTTTTGATGACAAAACTCAAAATGAAAAGATAGAATAATCCTGTTCATGCTAGTGTACACTCGGGAGGTAACAAATATAGAAGGCTGCATTCTGAAATTTTTAAAAGTTCCATAAACTGAGAGTAATGAAGACTAAACCAGTATATTATTACATGAAAAACAAATAATCTCTGTGCAGTGTATAAAATCCACCTAATCAAATTATGCAATGCTAACATGACTCGCTATACCCCTGTATGGTTATGACCTAAAGCATAGCATTTATTAAAATTAGCTGTGATCTGAATAAACTTACTAACCCAAACAAATAAGACTGAAGGCCAGTACTAATGGGATGAAGTTTTAATGGAAACCAATTTTAATAGTTAGATCAGATCAAATTTGATCCTAATAATATTGTACTGCATCCCATCTGGCCTGAAACCAAAAACTAATACAGTAGTCAGTTCTCCTATAACACTGTAGGTGCATTCCTGTAGAACATCGTGTTATAGAAATACTGTGTTTTAGTAACTTAATTCAATGGGAATTAAGGGGTAGTGGGTTCGAGAACATGACTGACAACTTTTTTTTACAAGTTCCTATTATTTTTAGTTTTTGTGTTCTTTCATAATAACTTCTTTTTAGTTTGATATCTTTCATTAATAAATTAAAACACATAAAAGGGGAAAATTTTCTATTATTGCATGTTAATCTATATTGTTGAGCAATACAAAATGTTGCCATGAAGAGTAAAAATTATGAAATTAATGGAGTGCGACTCATTTAACAGTTTTAATGATAAAACCTCTTTAAATCAAAACATTTCTAACCATAAGAAATGTAAATACACTTATGAAATTGTTTAGGAGACAAATAATATATAGTCAAACAGTTCACAATAACGTGTGTGATATATACACAGGCTGAACAATGGCCAAGGCAGGTGGAAAACGTTACCAAGGCTGGCAAGTCTGATTTTCTTGTCATTATCAAATCCCTCAAAATTCATATAAATTAAATTTCAATATTTATTCCTTGATAAAGGAAGCAGGGTCCTAGTGCTGTCACTAGGTACCCCTGTACAATAACACCAGAAGCATCTGGCAAGTGTCACCGAGATTCATTACCAAATCAAGTGTTTCAATACCAAATTTTTTAGCATACAGTACAGTAAAAAAAATAATTGTATTATGGAAAAAAACAATCCTCACCGTTATATAACTGAAGTGTAGATAAAATTGTTTACAATGAGTCAGTAATAATTCAAAATATACTGGGCAGTGAAATCATCTCTGCCAAACCTCCAAGTTCACCCCTTAAGTTCATACATGTTAACTGTGAATTTATTCAGGGTTAATACCAAATCATTTTCATTCATTACCAAATGGATTTGTCATTAATTAGTTTCTACCATAGGCAGCACCTAGAAGCATCTACCAGCATTCCACGTAGAGAGAGACTACGCGGAGGCAACCGCAAAACTGCTTATTCCTACAGATATTGAAACAGTTTATTTAAGCAGAATAATACAGATACAAGAGTGGATAATAATAACAACATTGACATGGCTGAGCCAATCGCATTATACCCAATTTGCATCCTCGTTGTAAAAAATGTGTTCCCAATACATTTGCCATGTTATGCTGTAACTAATTCGCCTTATGAAAACACGAATTATAGGAGAACCGACTGTATCCATTTCCAAGGTCAACTGGTGCTGGAGTGATAAAAAGTCACTTACCTATTAAGACAACATCTTGGGCAATCTATGACATAGGCATGTGCTCTACACCATGTTATCCACTACTCATTGTAAAGCTAATGTGATATTTTACATAAATTTAACAAAAATAAATAAAAAAAATAAATGGAGAAAATATGATATGAAAATTCTGGAAGTACACCAACAACTTACTGCAGTAAGAACAAGATGAGGATGAAGATCACGAATAACATTATCAATGGCACGGTCGAGATTCTCCTCAGTGGGCTGACTTCCTTGAAGAGCTCTCTCCCTCACAAATCGTTGCAAAGGAGCACGCAGTTGATTCACAGTTGTTGCACGTCCAAAGAAAAGTTGAACAAGGTCCCCAATGGACAATGAGAGAGCCTAATAAAAAATAAAAACCTTTCACTGTTGATAATTCATGTGTTTGGAACTTTGGATATGTCAATATGAGAAAGCTCAATATGAAATGCAACCACTCAAATGGTTAAATGGAAAATGGGTTGAGAAATGACTGAAATAGACAATACACAGAACTAAGACAAAGCATCCTCTGAACTATTCCCACCTTGAGCAAGATGTCTAATTTCTTTTTGTTTTCAAACATTTTAAGCATCATGCATATATACATGCTAGTTCTCTCTTCATGCATACCAAACATACACGATCATCTCATTTTCTAAACTTCAGCCTTTACCTATGACCATCGTTTTTCACACCATAGTTTTATTCCCTTTAGTTACAAATACAGTTAGTTAACAGTTTCTTTCATCTTATACTCTATAGATTTGTTAACTCAATTTCTCTTATTACAATAAACATAACTCCACTTTGCATACTTCCTATTTGAGAGTCGCTTCAGATATCTGCAGTGACTGTTCCTTTGGGCACATCGTAATGACCGAGTCCAAGATCAGGCCCCCAATGCTAAGTGATGCATAACTAAATCTGCTACCATCTTGGTATTCTTTTAATAATGGCTACAATGTGTACTTTACCCAGTTTATGCAAAAGTACCAAAGGAAGCAATCCTCCAAACCATGAAAACTGACATGTTCTTCCAGTACAGTATTACATGCCTCCATCAAAGTACAAGTACAATAAGTCCATGATACTAAACAATAACCCATCTCAAATTAAGGACTGGAACTATCATGAGTGATGATAGGACATATAAAAATGTACAAGATGGCTGGAAGGATCAAAACAATAAGCAAATAATACAAGCAAAGCTGAATTTTTCTTTCAGTGATGGGAAAGAAAATATTGTACTCCGTTTCTCTATTTCTAAGTGCAAAAGTGAACCAAATCTCCAACTCAAATCGATAGATTTTTCAAATAACTTGGACAACCACAAAAGAAATTATTCAATGTGGTGAAGGCTACAAAGTGACCTTTAAGGTGCAACCTTTATATTTATTATATTCTTATCAATCCTAATTTCAAAAATTTTCTTGGCCTACACCCAACAATGAAAACTGGCCACCATTTTTAATACTGTACTTTGTCAAAAATCAAAACTTCTGACATTGTGCTGTGATCAACCTTCATCAAATTATTAGTATTCCCCCAAACCATCATTCAAACACCTCTCATTAAGTTCATCAAAGTCTGTCAACATATTGAAATTTGGTTGCACACAAAGTAGGTATGCAAGTGCAGGCATTCATTAAATATGGACACTAGGCAAGCACACATAAAGAAGAGTAATCTTAAAAAAACAATACCAAGCATTGCAAAAAATTAATGTGAATAGAGTATAGGATTTTTGTAGTTTCAGGGTTATTGGATGCCACACTTGACAATAAGGATCAAAATTTAAAAAATAAATACAAAATATTGTAATAGAGCTGAGAACCATGACAAAGAAGTTTCACAAAGGTGACCTTAAAAGTAACTCCAGTAGAAGAAAGATTAGCTATGTGAAGTAAAAAAACAAGCTTGGTGTAGTGTGTACTCCCTAATTTTGCAGAACAGGCTGCATGCATGATCTTGCCAAGGTGGGTAACAGGATTTATAATAATTGTTAAGCAATATGTGCACTGAGTAGTTGATTCATTGGGTAAAGTTGAGAATGTAATGACACTAAATGGCTCTACTTTACTACAGCAGCAACTCTTTACAAGTCATTTTCAGCTTTAATTATCTTTTGACATATCTCACACACTGAACTAATATGTAGTCTATGAAACCCTCTGAAACAATGCATCCAATAAGACATCATCTCACCCACCTGACCAATGAATTCAGGTCGTCAGAGTAAGCAGAGAAACTGACATGGTACATTTCCTGGTGTCCATTTCGCCTACAAAACTGTCAACACATTGAGTCTACCTTAGTGAAGTCTGAGTTAAAGCAGCCATTTAAACAAAAGCCCATCATTGGAGAAAAAAGTTTCCATACATCCAACCTTCACACAATGTGTAGTGCTGATAGCTTAACCAACCCAGCGGAACTAAACTGAAGTACATGTACTCGCTGAAAGAACTAATTGACATGTCCATGCTGATGCTCTTTACAAACAGATCTATTTTCATCCATGGTTAGATTGATACATTTTTTCATAATGGGCAAAGCAGAGGAATAGTCAGGCATATATGATGTGCCATAAATTTAAACCTACTATGTCAAACTGCTGCACTGAGGACAAATGAAATTGACACCAGCTGCATTGAATGGGTTACAGAAAACAAATTTCCTTTGGAAGGACTTTCTCTTATCGGTATGAAGTCTAAATATGTGGTGAATAGACAGCTACCATTATATGATAGCCTAGTTGCTGTAACCAAACGATAATGGGCATCCTGGATACAACTCGACCAAATATACCAGAATATTTGCTTTGCCTATAATCCATAAAATTCTGGAGATATCTTTTTCAAGGAAAAAAGGTTAAATTGTAAAAAGCCAATTAATAGAACATCTAATAAATGTATAAAGTCAAAGATTTTATTTTTGTTTTCTCATCTACACTAACTCAGAAGCTTATTAGTACTAATTACTATAAGTTCTACAACCATCTCCCATAGGTCTCCAAACTTACTACAGTGTTAAAAAGTTGATAAAAGAGGGAGTCCTCTTCTCCTTCACTGAACATGCCACCATCAAATGGCTGTAGAAATTCATGAAGTGAAGAACCAGACTGCTGACTATTACTGTTTCCACTTTCTGAATTTAACGAACCAGATACTTGAGACATAACACCCTGAAAAGAGAATTGTGATTATCATCTTCAATGGAAATAAAAAACTGTCAGATGACAACAAATAAAAAATGTGTAATGTTATACTTTGTGGGTTGCCTTGCCAGACTGTAAACGATGGAAGTCTGCCAAGAACCCCCATTACTCTGTTCTAATCAAATTGCATCCGGCTCCACATTAGTCAAATTGACTTGAAACTGTATTTGATAACTTTAAAACTGTTAAGTTTCATGAGCCGAAGCCCTTGGTATATCATCTGTTAACTAATTGCTTACATAGTAATGGCCCTATGTAGTGACAATGATCCATATCACTTTCTCAACCTAGACCCAATTGTGAATAGTCTTTTGCAGTCCGTCTTTTCCTTACACAAACACCTAAATTATATAATTTTGTCTCCACAAGGCAGCTGGACTCTGTTTCCCCTTCTTTGGGTGCATTAATCCTGCTGATCATCTGGTAAATAAAGATTATAGACTCCAATGACAATGTATTTTCTTTTGTATTTTACAGCATACCTGTATAAGATGCACTTTTCTATCTTAAATAAAGCTAACAAAAATCAGTGTGTCTTATACATGAAGATGCAGTCTCCTGCAGGTGAATGAATCCCCATTGCAGTCTCCAGCAGGCTAAATTCTACCTAGCCCAACTCCAGAATTAAAAATATGTTAATGCATACTTCAACACATTACAGTATTATTATTTTCAATTAATCAATAAAAGAATTATTGTAAATATAAAAGCTGGATTTATAACAGATGATAACCCAAGACGATTAGTGTCAGTACGGCAACCCAATTAACACTAAACGAGGGATACCTGTACTGCCTGTAATATCCTTATACTAGGCATTATAGGTTCTCAATAACTTTCACATAAAAAGGAATGAAATATAATATGTGAGTAAAATGAAACTATCAACTAACCTGTACTAACTGAGCAAACATCTGATCACTGATCTGTGGCTCACTGCCATCTGCAGCTTGCTGCTGTGACTGCTGTGGTTGTTCCGGCTGTTGCTCTTCTTGCTGTTGTGCTCCAGACCTTTGTCTACCACTAAATGCCTCAGCCATCAAATTTGCAAAAAGAGCAAGCGGATTGCCAGAAGATGCTGTAGGCGAGACTCCAACTTGAGGACGAGCCTGAGCAGACTCTGAAGAAATTTCTCCTGGCTGTGAATGTAAAATCAATTACTGTATAAGAAACTTAACAGAATATAAAAATATATAGATGAAAACATAGGACACAATGATTCAAAGCTGCATCTTTGCTTATGATGTGGGCCACCTGTAAATGAATGGTCTTAATACTGTACTAGAGGAATACTGCACAACACTAGAAAATTTTAATTATTACTTATAACTATAAATGTTAAAAAAAAAAGTACAGGTATGATACTTTAAGAAAAAACAAAAGCATTCAGCTATAAGTTAAAAAAAATATATATTAATAAATAAATAAATAAATGAGGAATACCATCCACCACCAAGCTTCACATACCAAAAGCTGATCCACACCATCACACCAATCACTCTGTGTGGACTTTTGGACTCGATTTCAGGCACAACATTCTGCTGATTTCTGGCTTAGTAAATAATCATATTTAGAAATATTACTTTATATCATAACATATCAAGAGAGGAAAATATGACTTCCACTTTCTGTAGAACTGACATACCCGTGTGCTTGCTGCTGACCTTCTGTGCTGACCCGAACCGCCTCCAGCTTGGGTCTGGTGAGAAGAGATGCCGAGGAGGCTTAGCGATCGAGTAATTGAACGAACACCGAGTACCTATAGTTCACTAAATTTTCCAATATGCCACATTTGAGTTTCCTAATTTTCCACTTACATGACTCATTCCATTTTACATTTGCTTATCACTTTAGGCCACAACTATCCAGATTATTTTCCTCACATTTCACTCCCACTTGTCGGCAACAAAATCTGTCTTGCACCTTTAAATCTTATCATTATTCCTAGTAAGAGCTTATTAAGGATTTGATTTCTACACTTGAGGTACTTTCATTCCTAACTCCAAACATTAGCCCAAGATTATTGTATATACGTATACACTATAGCTATACGGTAGAGGGCTTGCATAATGAACTAAATTTTCACTACTGTACTTTCAATATTTTTCTCCCAAGTACACACTTTATATCTTTGCTCAATTGCTTTTTCAAATCCATTGAACTATAATACATGCAACTTTCAATATTTTTTATTACTAATATGTAATCCACTCAACCATGCTCTACCACCAAACAAACTCATCTCTTACTTTACCATTTGTCATGTTTTGATTTCTCTCAGGTAGCATTAAAAAATTATCAAAATGTGGAAAGACTCAAGAAGTTCAAGAAATTGTGATAACCCAAGCATAAAATAGATGGATGAAATAGGCCAGCAAAATAAAATAAAAGCAGTGATATGAAAAAATCTGCACAAAGCACAAACTTAACATATTTAGCCAGAAAATACTTTATTACTAGAGTAACTTTCAGCAAGCATTTTTCTAATTATTTAGTTAATTAATTTCTCAATGATAACAGTCATGTTGAATAATACTATACAGTTATTCTAGTTCTTTCAGTGAAAAGGAACACGTGTTAAAAATTTTGGCACATAAGACAATATTATATGTCTTAGCAGAAAATTCTGATAAAACATTTTATGTGCATCAATGTCACCTAATGAGTTCAGTCAACCAAGGGGATTTGATGATACCAGATTTTACTTAAAAGTGATTACTTTGACTTCTAGGCATCAATTATTGGAAAAAATCAGTCTGTGTTCTTAAGGTAGCAAGTACTGTACTGCAATGACTTTCACGAATTCCAAACCTTGAAAAAATATACTGTACAGTGCTCAATGGTTATGTACTGTATAGTATCATGGAAACAATTTTACATAAAATTTAGGAAAACTGTTCTACCTAAACTGTGGAGCAATATTCCAACACCCTGCATACTATAAATGTCATTAATTGTAAATCAATGGCACTTGTGAGAACTAAAGGTTAAGTTCTGGTTCCCAAAATACTACCCAATTTTTCACTTCTATTCCACTAATTTTTTTAGTTTCAATTGACACATTAGAAGAGATATAGTCAACCTGATATAAAGGTATTGACACTTCATCAAACACATTCACCCCCTCCCCCTCTGAAACCCCCTCTCATCTTTCTTTCCTCTTCTTGACACTCCCAAAGAATGAAGAAGTGATGAAAGAAGAAGTTAGAAAAGAGATAGACATACAGTACAGCACCCAAAGATAGCTTCACCCTCTCACTTGAAAAGAAAGAGGGAGATCTCCTTCAGAAGATTCATTTATTGAAAAAAAAATCATATTTACACAAGTGAAAGTGAAAAAAAAAGTAAATCCAATCAGGATCAGAGTGAGTCAACAACTATCAATCACCATGTCAGTGTGGCATAGTGAGGGGCATGGGGGTGGCATCTGTGTAATCAGTTCATCGCTTCCAACCACAAAACCCATCTTGAGTAATATTTTCAACCTTTTTACTTTTATATCATTATTGTTTCTCTTTATTGGATAATGTGTAACAAGTAGAGAAATTAAGAAAAGGTGTAAATATGATTGAATGAACATTTCTGAAAAAATTATACTTGTTAGGATTGGGTGTTTAAATTTAACAATGCAATAAATAGCAGATTTTTTTCAACTTTTAAAAAACATTACAAGTATAGTTTATGCAATATACAATACAGTATACCATCTACAGTGACCCCTCGTTTAACAAACGCCTCGGTTAACGAAATTTCGGTCAAAGGAACTGCCTTCCATAAGGATCTTCAATTCGGTTAACGAACAAAAATTCGGTTAACGAATTTCTTACGAACCGACCTCAACTTGTTTTCGCTTGCACTGACCGGGCAACCAGCTTTAGTATCAGTCCGCCAATACGTTAATCGGTTCTAGGGCTTAAATTCCTTACTATTTTAGTAAATATCAAGAAGTTTATACTATTCAATAATTTTAAAAGTTTAATATTCAATTTTTTAGTCATTTTAACAATTATTAAACATAATTGAAGGTAAAGTGACTAGTTTAATGAGTGGCATCCAGCCTCTTAACACAGCAAACAGGTGTTAGTCTCTCTCTGTTTTCACTGGAGGTAACATCTTGCTTGACTCTCTCTTCAACTAAACGCTTTTTTTCTGTGTTTCCAAGCAAATTATTGGTCATTTTGAAATATATTTTACATATTGACAATATATAATGCAGTGCAGTGTTGATTTAAAGAAAATAATCTTGAATTACACCAAGAGAGCTAAAATTTAATGGGTGAAATGGCACCATGGGGTGACTTCTCTTCCATCCCAATGCCTTCTCTTCTTCCTTCTCCTCCACCCCCATTCTAAATCCCATCATCATCATCATCATCATCATCATCATCATCCAGGAGCCTTCTACATACACACCTCAAAGTAAGTGAACTTTTCTACCTTTTTTGTTGAATTTAGAACATTTTCGGTGAGCTGGAACCAATTACCCAAAAACCCATTGAAACAATGGTTTCGGTTAACGAACTTTTCGGTTAACGAACGACCTTCTGGAACGGATTGAGTTCGTTAACCGAGGGGTCACTGTACATGAAGTGCAAAAAATCTGCAATATATTGATATTACAATTTCCCAGTCAAATTATTTTATAAAGCATTATTAGGTATTTTCCAGTATCATAGAGCAAAGGAAGTGTATTTAAACAGATCATGCATAATTTGGAACACAATTCAATGGGGTAGGAGTGGCAAATTGAAAACCCATGGACTGGACAAGATCTACTATATGTTCTTTTCCACCTCGTGAATTAGAATAACTTGGAGCCAACTGTACTGTATTTTTATTTATTTTTATTTTTGTTTACATTTTGAATAACCCTCACTATACATATCTAACAAAAATTTACATTAAGTGATTTCACATTTTACTTTGGTGTGTAAACTCTTGACAATACACTTAAAACTAGACAGCAAGGATACAATAAAGTAAGCCCTACCTGTGCCCGGTGTCTCCTCCTCGTAGCTGGCCGAATATGGTGACTTTGACATGGCAGGAATGGGTCAAACTGGTTCATCCCCATTCCTGGCAAATTAAGAGGCGTCACGTGCACATGAGGTCGGTGTGTCACTCGGGTTTGAGTCACATTGGTTGTGTTGGTGCCACTGTGGGTATGAACAATACCTTGTAATTAAAATTCTCTTCCTCAGGTTGCAAAAACTATGACTAAGTGTTGAAGTGCTTTAGTGAAATTAACAATCTGTACTGTAAGGTTTAAAAGATAAATTTGAAAAGGGTTTACAAAGGTGTTGAAAAGGTGGAATATTGACAAAATACTGATATAGTAAAAACTCTGAATACCAGATTAGTGCGAGCAGAGTCCTGTCTGCTGTTGGACACGCTGCCGAGGGTTTTTTGGCACCCCTTGGTAAGGTAATTCAAAGTAACATTCCTGGACTACAAAAAAATCTAAAAGAGCAGGAATTTGTTACAAATTGACAATATTCTGTATATCAGGGAATTACATATAAAATAAAAATACCAGGTAAACTGAAGAAAAGTGGTCAATCCGCTTTTGAATTCCTTCCCAAGCAACCAGAAATATGTCAACAATACGTGCAAGGGTGGAGGCGATGCAGCACACAAAATACTCTCTCAACCTGTCTTGTCTGCTAAAACTCTATACAAATATCAGACCAAATAAAAGTCCTTTATTTGGAGTATCCAGTATTAAGAATTTTTACTGTACAGCTATTCAAAATTCATCGTCTTATAATACCTAAATAAAAGATTTCCCATGTGGTTCTGGTAATGAGGAAAGAAGGAGAAACAAGAGTAAGACTACTGTAGTTAGTTTACCTATATCTCAAAAATTCTGTAAACTCAGGTCATTTAAAAATTTCCTTATGTCCATCTGAGATTTTCTCAATAAAATACAGAAGCACTAGTTCAAGTCTAGTTAAGGTTAAGTTACCGGAGTCACAAAGTGCAATGAACTGTAACTATCCCAAATGTGCTACAATACAATAAAATCTCAGACCATAACTTCCACCTCTCATATTTATGGAAAATGATGTGTACAAAAAATTTGGGTAAGGATCATGATAATTCATGTTAAATGACCCAGATTTTCCCACACCAAATGGCACATAAGGATTAAGTAAAAGTGAAGCAATAAAAGCCATAAATTAGTTATAAAGATAAACTTGTAGCCTTTACTCCTTTACGTGTTTGCTCAGCTCTTGCAAAATTTAAATACAATGCAACATTACCCATACAAGCCACTCTAGCTCCAGCTTAGTTTCATGTGTATCAAATTAGAGATATATTACCTGAGGCTGTTTATAAAGCAGAAACATGGTGCAGGAGTTGGTGTATTCACTTCAAAAATATGTGCAAAAAATCAGCCATATTGCAATATCATCTTCCAAAAATGTTAGGTTTTAATGCCCCAGGTTTCCCGCTTAATTAATTTTAAAACAGTTTAAAAATTAAGTAAAAACATTATAAATTTTGACACTGGACATCTTCCAGGAAATATAATTTTCTGATCATTTGGCATCAAGGTGGGTCAACATTACCATGGATTAACAAGGAACTGGTGTACCCAGAGAATGTATGGCACTGTACTGGAGTAAATTTATGTAACAATTTACTTTTGTTTCTCCCTCATCAAGAAAGTGGTACGTACATAAATGCTCTGCCTACAACATTTAATATAAGCTAGAGACCATTTCGCTACCCTTTTCTAGGAACTAATGCCAATGCAAATTATTATTGAAGTACTATATACAGTATGCTGATTTGCCTATGAAATCAGTAAAGCAGTCTCCACTTGCTTACACTAAATAAAAAGAAATGCCCCAGCAAGTATGCACAAATGTAAGAAAGAGTAAGAATTGGAGTGAAGACAAAAGTTAAAATAGAGGAACACACTAGATGAATGATAGCAAGAAAAAAGCTCTCCTTGAAGGTTCAAGTTAATGAGGATAAAATCTTTTCATGAGAACACACTTCTCCTTATGTAGTACTTCCATGAATGACTGACACCATCCAATGAACTACCTTTCATACATCTTACATATGTACTGTATGTGTGTCATCAACTTTTGTGTAGCTAACATGCGGATGGTTCTACAGAACCTTACAGATAAGATTCCATATCCATAAGTAATTTTCAAATCATTACTAGCAATCTAGAAAAACATTTGCATGTAATAGTTTCAATATCAAGTATTAGTCACCTGTGTGTTCTTTCTTCATATGATCGACAAAAAAAAAATATGCGTGCTTTCAATACATTCATAAGACCAAGATAAACAATATACGTTCAAAGTCCCTCACTGCCAAAGCAAAATGTCTGCAGCCATGCTTACCAGAAGCCAAGATTTGCAGACTGTGAGCTAGCATGAAAATCAGAAAAAAAAGTACGAAGAGTGCGTTTAGATGAGGACTCGACCAGATGAATGGTTTATCACTTATAACATGGCAGCCATCTACTACTGAGCCTCCTGGAAACATGGATGAGGAAAAAAAAAAACATTTGTTCCCAAGTTAAAAAGTTTCCATTTAAACAGTGTAGTGGAAAACAATTTTGCAAAAGATTTTCATGGAGTGACACCAAGATAATTTGCATGTATTTAAAATTTTTGTTAATGATTTAAAATATTAAAATAAAATAAATAAATAAAAAACTTGTGACCATGAGAGCCAGAAATGAATAGATAAGTCCCATGTCATATACGTATAGTATATATACTGTACAGTACATATATACACGTGATCAACCATCCACCACTTTATTTTTTGCTGCTAACAGAATCAATACTTCCACTCACTATGATAACTTTATGTCATGTATTGTAAGCTATCGCAATTTCAAGAATGTATTATGCCAATAATGGTTGAAGTTATATAAAGCATGTCCTTAATGGCTGGTCACAAATGCTCTTTTATACACACTTGGGACATCATTAATTTATTAGTTACATTCAAGTAACAATTATCAGCAATACTCCACTTTCCTTCTACCAACACAGTACAGTAGATCCCTCTCTATTTTCTTCTTGAAACACAGAAAAAATTAAAACATCAAGAATTACTGAATATCAAGAACAGTGTTTTCTAACTCCATTAATCTTCGTGTCAACCAAGATATGATGGCCCTAAGTGTTCTGATACGGTTTTACAAAATATTGAACTTTTATCGATCAACTCATTTAGCCAACTAAACGAGGGTAAAGCAGGTACTATCACAAAAAATGCAGTATTTACACCAATTCATCCTCAAGCATGATTACCACACTGCTGGAGTACTTCACAAGTATTCCCTTTTTCACTGTTATATTATCACCAACATTTTCAGTACCATAAACTTTCCTCCATTATATGATCTTTCTTTACTCCTCTGATATCTACATTAAATCATCCCTGGGTTTTGACAAATCAGCTCAAAACTACAACCAACTCTAGTACCATCTACACCCAATTCAATCTTTTTAACCCACGTGTTCTACTATGGTGCACTCCGGCCACAACAAGGCCTAAACCAATCATTCATCAAACACTTAAAATCTCCTGATAATCTCTATATACATTTCCCTCCATATGTCTTTCTATTGATTCCTTCATCCTATTCATTTCTCATGACTTCAATCTTCACTATACAGTAGACATCTTTAATTCTTATGCCAACAAAAAAGAACTTATTCATCCCAGCAATTCTCATTCCTCATATTAGCATTTTGCAAGACTTCAGCTACACACTCGTACATAAGGCTCAATAAGTTTATCATGCACATTCCATACTTAAATTTCTTCTATTTAACTATGGCTTGCAAGGCCATTTTTTCAAGTGCTTTGACAAAGAGCCATACATTTCTCAATATATTTTCCCTAAATCAATGTCAGGTAGTAATAGATAAACTTGTGCCAAGGCATTATTGACACACATACATACAGTAGGTTACTACACAAGGTTTTCATTCCATCAGCATACACTACCAGTACCTAGGCCCGTCCTTTAGGGGGGGGTGAACAGGGGCGACCGCCCTGGGCCCCACACCCTCCTAGGGACGGCCCTGCCAGTACCCAAATTTCAGTACATAATATTCTACTCTCTCTAAACCACCTGCACAAAAAAAACAATTTCTCCTAGATGTTCATTTTTCCAAACAATATTTTCCCATTCTTTCCAAAACAGACTAAGCAGTCACTTTAGGTTATAAATAAATCGACTACAGGAAACCTTCTAATTAACCCCTACGCCCCGGTTGACGTTCTGGAACGAGCGCCTTTTCGTGCCATTGTTTGGCCCAGCACGGGTTATCAGGTTCCAGCATGACTATTTGATGGCCACGCCACATGGGTGGGCTCAGTGCGGTTAGTACGCATTAGCCTGTCGCCATGGAGAGTCGTCCCTCAACCTGGCGACAGATTGCGTGTGTCGCCGAGTACTTTTTATGAAAAATAATGCAAATAAAATAAATTCTAAATTAATTATTTACAGGAAAGAAGTATTATGATCAGTAAATATACGCATTACTGGCCATCCCGGACACAAATGCAAGCAGAAAATGGCCGCTAGGTGCATAAGTGACCACGAGCGCTCGCCGTCATAACAAGCTGTCCCCTTATCTCCCTCGCCACTGCAGCCTTAGGGAAGTATCTAGATGGTCGATATATAGTTTTTCTTACTTCTTTTTTATTGTTTTATCATTTAAAGAGGTCAAAAATTATTTTTCGAAAAGTTGATTTTTCTCGATTTACCCCATGTGAGGGGTACGGCCAGCGGCACCCTAGCCCAAGGGGTAGGTGTTACTGGGGTGCTGTCCAATAGCTAAATCTTTTGATGTAAAAACACTTCTTTGCCAGTTTATAAGTAGAATCCCATTTTTAATTTTACCTTCAATATTAACAAACCATTAGTAATAAAACACACTGCAATCACAGCCTGCAGATGGGAGCTGCATCCCAGACTCTACTGCAGATATCGCATGAGAAATAATAATACAGTACAGAATTTTCTAGCTAACAGGATACAAATCCTGATACAGTATCAAGTTATTGGGATGATACCATCCCATTAATTAATGAACCAGTTAAAAGGAGGCCCAGTAATTAGTTTACAGTACACTAATCTTTCCTCGATTCATAATCTAGAGAGCACCAATATTATTTGGAACTCAATAATTTACATCCTACGTTTTGTTCATACTATTCATCCATAATATGCACACACATCCTTCCTCTTTCACACCAGCTCTGTAGCCTCACTCCTTTCCACATTTGAATATTTGTAGTATGCTTCATACATTAAACATACTTAATAAAAATAATGCATACACACTGACAATGAATCCAATTACCAGGATACCTTCATCTCAATGACTATCTCATTAGTTCCATGTCAGATTTTTTTAAGATAGAGCAACTTTAGGAGAAAAAAATTATACTTTTAGTGATATCTGTGCTAGACCTTCAATTTCCATGGTATATACAGCTGTTAAACTATCTGGACAAAGAATATAGCATGATGAAGAGTAAAAGGTTCTGAAAGGGTAAGAGTTAATGTTAATAAATGTACCAAGTACAGATAGTCTACTGGTGTTAGCACTGCATCAAATATCAGGAGTACACTCCACAATACAGTACAGTACCACACAGCATCACTATTCCCACTAACCATTCATGTGCTGGTTTTATTTATTTTGTGTCCAAATATTATCATAAAAAATTGGCTCATACATGTTTCTTTCATTTATGTTAATGCTCTTACAATAACCTTGTATTAAGGAAGGACAGGTGAATTATGAGGAAACTCCATTTCAATATCAGCTCAGTAATGTTTTGTAACATAAGCTACCTCCCTAGTTAAAGCATAACTAATTAAAAATTTAAATAGTACAACATTTAAGTTGACGACACTATGAATACAAAATACTTATTCAATTCATTATTTAATATACGATGTCTCTATTATTAATCATGAAACACCGATACAAATGTCAAATGGAATTACTTCCAAAGTTGACTGAGGATAAGCACTAATTGTCCCAAGGGTAAAGTGAAAAGAAATGATTAAGACAGTGTGATGTATGAGAGTCTGCAAATTCAAGTATTTATTGTAGATTCCTTACAAGGCTTACATTCTACCACTTGTTATCTCTGTGGTACTGGCCCTGACAACTTGCATATATAAAAAATAAATTTCTACCCTTATGGCATCCTCTTTGCCAGGCAGGGGACTCTTTCTTGAGAGAACCGTCAGTGTGGACCACATGTAAAAGCAAGACAATTAGTACTTTAAACTGCTACACAACTAAGAATATATTGAGGAGAAATTTAAGATGGAGAAAGGAGGGGGTACTTTAAAATGGGAAGAGGAAGGCTTTACCAAAAAAAAAAAAAAAATTATAAGACATTGTCATGATTATAAAACTAAACAGTAAAAATCTAAAGCAAAAAACTTACTCTTGCATTATAAAAATCAGTCACACTAAAATGTCCAAATTAAGAACAGATGCCTGTCAGCAGACATATTTCCCCTGTCAAGCACTGTTCTTGTTAATTAGCTTGAACTTATCATATTTCAATTAAATATTTCAAAAGCATAACAATTATTAAAAAGAACATACCTGTTGCCAGCAGCTTGACTGTTTCGTCCATGGCCTGTACTTTGAACTCCCGAGCCAGATGATGAAGATGTGGTTGTGGAGGATGAGCTGGAGGTGTCAGCTGTGGAGGATGGCGAGGAAGTGGAGGATGTGAGGGGACCACCCAATCGGACTCCTAGCTGGTTTGTAATGGAGGAAACTATGTTTTGGATGAGCTCTGGTGGGGGAGCAGATCCTCCTGAAATTTAAAAAAGTCAAAAGATAAACAACTAAACAAAGCTTCAATAAAATGTTCTAAAACTTATAAGTAAGACCCCTCTGAGTTGGACTTTCCCCCATAAGTTGGACAAGGTTCTGACTTAGGAGGGGGTCACATGGTATTCACGTGAGGTAGCTATCACGTAAGGCAGCAGTTCCAACACATTTTTGTCGCCACTGTTGTTCCGCTACGCACTCTCTTTCCTTCATATTTAGTGCTTCCCCAGTGTATTATTATGCCCTCTATAGTAAGAAAAGGCAAAATAACACCACTGGGAGAAAAGGATTATTTCTCAGAACTTAAACAGAAGATGTGCGACAGAATTGATGCTGGGATCTCCATGAACGTTTTCTGTGAGTTTGGGCTGAAGCGGAGTACTTTTTACGATATCAGATAGATTTAAGTGCACAAATAAAAGTGTAACTAAATATAAAGTATAATTAAATATATGTACAGTGATCCCTCGGTTAACGAATTACCTTCCATAAGATTCTTCACTTCGGTTTACGAAAAAATTTCGGTTAACGAATTGCTTACAAATTTTTCCCAACATGTTTTCGCCTGCCCACCAGCTGTAGTATTAGTCCGCCAATACAGTAATCGGTTTTAGGGCTTAAATTCGTTACCATTTGAGTAAATATCAAGAAGGTTGTACTATTCAATAATTTTCCAAGTCTTATATTAAAGTTTTTAGTCATTTTAACAATTATTTAACATAATTGAAGTACAGGGAAATAGTTTTTAGCGTGCCAAACAGCCACTCAATACACCCAAAATGGCGTCAGGGTGTGTCCCTGCTCAGTGGAGGAAGCTTCTTGCTTGAGACTCTTGAACAATATTTTTACGTTTTTACAGTACAATTATTGGTCATTCTGAAGTTTATTTTACATATTGACAATATATAATGCAGTGCAGTGTTGATTTAAAGAAAATAATCTTGAATTATACCAAGTGAACTAAAATGTTATGGGTGAAATGGCAGCATGGGGTGACTTCTCTTCCACCCCAATGCCTTCTCTTCTCCCTTCTCCTCCACCCCCATTCTAATTCCCACCATCATCAACCAGGAGCCTTCTACATGCACACCTCAAAGTAAGTGTACTTTACTGCATTTATTTTTAGTTTGCATGTAGTTTTCTGTGAGTTGGAACCATTACCCAAAATCCCAGTGAAACAATGGTTTTGGTTAACGAACGACCTTCTGGAACGAATTGTGTTCGTTAACCGAGGGACCACTGTGTTAATATACAGGACGTACTGTAAGTGTAAGCAGCCTCCCATCGTCCTCCACCTCAAGATTCATCTACACGCCATCACAATCACACTAAAAGGTGTCCATCTAATATTGTCAATGCCTATGGCTTGGCACTTGACATTATTAGGGACCTGCCACGCTTTGCCATACAGATAAATTGCACAGGGAAATTTTCCCCCCACACACTCCTCATTCTGTCACATTATGTAACTTGCTGACAAAACCCATGACCCTTCAGGCTTTTACGCCCTTAATGCAGGAGTCATAAAGGCAAGCATGAAATCCACATGCTTCCCAGATGGGCACTGTAAACGCTTCTGCGCTTCACCTTGCACAGGATGTAAGGGGGTGCCCAATAAACTAGCCCCCTCTGGGGCAATCTAAAAAAAAAAATCTACTGTACAGCAATAAAATTAAGTGCAGTGTAAATGTGTAGCTACTGCTAGTTTAAATTTCTGGGGTGAGAAGGGATTTTTCAGCCAAATGGTGTTGAAAGGACCCAGAGGGAGGTTATGCTCAAGTCGGTATTCTAGATAAGTTAGACAGACAGCCTCAACCCGCATATAATCCGCCTTAGAGAAGTCTTATTGGAAATTATTTTTTGGAAAAATCACATGCTTACCCCTCATTCCTCAGAAGACTGCAGTACCATCATATTTAGTCAGATTTTCCCCACCAAAAATCGGTGATCCGAGGACTCCAAAATTAACAAGAGTTTCCATTAAAATTCAATGTGATTTCTCATTAATTTCAGCTTTTATGCATATCAAATGTTGTATGGAAGTGGTAAAATTATAAATTTATATTAAAACAATCTTATACAAATAAAACTTGAAATACCTGTAGTACAGTGCAATACCAGCAAAGTGCTCAGCCATATTATATATTTTCAATATCTTTCAATACCAGATACTCATTTAACTTTACTTACATGAAGCAAACCACAACCCACAATGACATATGCCAACATAGTGTAATATCTCCTTAATCCAATTTCATTGATTTTATCCAATGAAACGGTTACAAGTATGTAAAGATAAAATATATCAAGATAATTGTAGAAAATAGTGAACATAATCAAATTAATGATAGAATCCTAAGAACAATAAAAATAAAAAAAAGTACCAAACTGAATGAATTAGAGCCAGAAGTGTCAAACAAGCAACCTTTAATTAGAGTGCATCATCATCTTGTGATACTTCATATACTGTATGTTTTAAAGATTCAATGTAATATTTTAAAATATTGAATATAGTAGGATAGATATGGCCAGGACAGGCTAAATCAACAAACATGGTAATATTCTACCTTAAGATAATTATTTAATTGACCTTGACACCCAAGGTTATGTTATCTAAATGTTTAATGAAAACTTTCACATCATAATGCACAAATGTTTCAAGTTTCATGATGATATCTTCAATGAAGAAATAGCATGGTTTAGTCTTTGTTAACAAAAATTATAATATGACCTTGACACCCCAGGTAACAGCTACCCAAATGTGGTAAACCGTGCAACATCATCTATAATATACACATTTGTTCCAAGTTTCATTTCCATACTGTAATTATCTTCAACATAAAAATGAAATGAAAATAACAATTATCAGATTCATAATCTTTCTTAAAAACACCATCGTAAGGACTAGCAGCCAAGGGTTGATCACTTGATCAGCAGTCAACATAGCTTCAAGAGCAGCATCAAGCTCACCATCACCTGTTTTGGCTTGAACTGCAAGCAGTTCTGCTAATACACTACTTCTTTTCCTTTGAAATGTTGATCTGGCTTTTCTTTCAGTTGTTTTCCAGAAGTGAATGACTAGCTTGGGGTTAAAGTTTAAGTTTGAACACTCGCGCAAACCAACGATGATTTATTCATCATTGCCTTTGTAAATATTGATATAAAAAAGAACCATTATGACTGACAATCACAGTATACAAGCAAGACGTTTGTAAATTATGCTCGCAGCTAAGCAACAGTTTGCCATATCAGGATCACCTTAGGGATAAGGCACAGGTGCCATGCCAGTTTAGCAAGTGTTAATGTCTGCTGATTTCCATCTTTATACACAGATAAGGTGGTGCAATTACAATTCATCACTGGCTATCTCCTTGATGAAAATAAAAATTTAATAATCCTACTGCATTAATATAATTGTTGAATGCATGAGATACTGTACTTTAAAAACAATGAATGGTAAAGAAATTACAAGAATGGTATTTCAGTCAGTTTTCAACCCCACTATTTTACCAGAATTGTTATGGGATCCCACTTTGCGAGTCCTGGAGCCAAACAAGCCAGTAGTGCAACACACTGACATGCTAATCAATACTTCCTCACCAAAACTAGTATATAATTGCCTTTAAACAAATGACAAAATACACATACCTGAACCACCACCTTCAGCAGAAACAGAATCAATCGTGATTCCATGAGGTCCCACTTCCATCAGTACGAGGTCACCACCATCCATTGGAAAGCCTTGCATGGACCCTAAATTTAATAACGAGGCCAAACTACGAGCCTGGGCAGCAGTGGGTTGACTTGTATTACTTGCAGAAGCTGTAGAGGAGCTTGTGGAACTTGTGGAAGAGGTAGTGGATGGGGCTGTAGAGACTGGGAGGGTAATACTAGATCCACCTGGCCCCGGAATGGTAAAAAATCGAGTAGATGATGACGAAGTTGTTGAGGTGGAGGATGTGGAAACAGGGGCTATATTTGCTGAAGTAGTACTGGGTGTAGAGGTGGTGGTTGAAGAAGGGGAGCTGGTAGTGCTAGGACGGCTGCCACCCCGAACATTTACAGTTGTTCTTGATGGGTCTGAACTGGTAGTTACGTTGATCTGAGCCTATAACAATTAATTCATCATTAGACAGCAATGAACTTTCAAGCATTCTATGTCATACTCCTCTTTGTATACTGAATTTGTAAAAAAAAAAAAAATAATAATAATTTAATGTATTTGACCAATTATCTTTAATGGTAAATGTGTAAATTCAGATTAAAAGATAAAAACTAATTTCCAATATACCTGTACGAGTGCTGGCTGCTGAATTATAATTGGCCGGGCCCTTAACTGTCGGGGAGGTGAACGCCGCAAATCCACCATAATATCACTTATAGCATGCATGGCATGTGACACAAAATGTAGTACCTCTGACACACGCCACAAAAGCCATTGTTCTTGTTGCAATGAGGCTGTCTCCTAAAGGATAAGAAAATTTTAAATGGTTTCCCTTTTTCTTAATTTACAAATTATATGAACATAGACAAAATCTTTACATTTTTAAGACTACAGTACAACAAATTTTTATCACAAAAGCAACCCTTCCTAACTGTCCATAATACAAATCCCAACTCTGACTACCATATCAAGGGAGATGCCAATTATTTGAAACCATTAATTGCAGTTTCCATTAGTTGCCTTCAAGGTGAAGTATCACTTACCTGTTGGCTAAGTTCTCTATTTTCAAAGTGACAACAGTACGTACCATCTTACCTAAGACAGTTTACAATATGAAGTAATCCTGTTTAAACACTCAATTTGTATACATATATTTCTTCCCAGGTGAATAATAAAAACAAATCGGTTAAACATTGTCAAAATAAAATTTTAACTTATCCCCAAATGTTCATTGGAGAAAATATTGTCAAAAATGAGCACTCCTTGAAAACAAAGGTTTCTAAAAAATAAAATTATTTTATTAAGCATACCCCATCAGTATAAGCAGGATCATTAGCCATAGCTTGGTGGTAGCGAACCATGTAAGGTTCAAGACGACGTTGTATTTGGTTATACTGGTCCAAGACTTCCACCATAACTGCACAACGGGGGTGTTCCAGACGCACACTTCCAAGCCCTCCATCACTACTGCCTGCTCCATCTGTTTATAAATGTGGGGGGAAAAGACAGACTGTTCAAAGTCACTTTTTCAGTTAATAAATAGATAATAAGTTTACTTTCTGTTGAACAAGGTGCCATCCTCCTGACAACAGAGGCATGTTGATCCAAGGCCTCCAGCATGAATGCCATATTTATACACACCATTGTAAATATCTTTCTTTAATTCAAATATGTCTACTCCAAATACTCCAATAAGCCATTCTATTAACCTGCTGAAGCATTAGAGCTTCTGTAAGTCATAATACCCTTTACTACATTTTCCTTCTGCCCATCTCCAAACTATTATACTGTACTGTACTTCTTTCACCCAAATATACAACATACACAATTCCAGAAGCTTTGAAACAATTACTTGTGGGATGGTACTAAGTATAAAATGTAATACAGTTTAGCAAACATTCATCAAAATATTCAGGCATAAAGAATTTGTTTACTTAGATTTGTGACTACAGTACTATAGTTGCTTTCCGCACTTCTTACCTTGTGCATTAGACGTGCTAGCAGCAGCACCACTTGAACTAGACCTGTCACTGTCATCAGACCCACTCCTTTCACCGTCTGCTTCAGCTGTGTTGGCGACATTGCTCCTTGATGTGTTATCACTGGTAGAAGTGGATGGGGCAGAAGTAGTGCTACTACTCTGTCTGTTACCTTCTCCTGGCGATGATCGTGGATCTGAACAAACAAATACATGTAATCAAGATTCTAAATCACTGTAGGAATCAGAAGATACTGTTCACCATTCTTCTTGCACCTCTACAGCCTCCAAACCTTTATCTTTACACACCATTACAAAAAATAATTACTGACTGTCATCTCAAACTTTAATCAGAATAACATACACAAAATAAACATGATATACAAACAACTTGTACAACACCCACGATGTACTTTGGCAGCATGCACGATATTACCTTGAGTCAACATCAAATAATATCTTAATCTCGTCTTTCACCCAAACTGAATATAAATATTTTATGAGAAAAGAACTAATCAGACCTTTGAACATTTTTATGTTCAACTGTATCACCTTTTTGGTTTGAATGGAAGGAATGGATAATTTTCATTTCTTCTATGAGAAATGAAAGTGCATTTGATGTTTAACTCAGAGGTAGCTTGCCTGGCCTTACTTGTAATTCTGACAGTTAGTGTACGCACACTACCCTGGGGAAAAATACGAAGGGGACCACCACTTATACTGCTGGTGCTACTATTTGTAGCAGATGTTGTAGTTGATGCACTGGTGGTAGAATCACTTGTAGGATTTGTGGTTGTGCTTGAGGATGTTGCAGTACTGACAGTAGGTGGTCTTGTAGTTGCTGTAGGAGAACCAGTGTTGCCAGCACTAGGTCCTCCCCTAGCAAGGGAAGAGAGTGCTGATGCCACTGCTGCAGATGCTGCCTGAGCTAGACCACCTGCCAGACTACCATTTACAGCTCCCATCATTGGAGCCGGTGGAGCAGCTGGGATCAGCGTAGCAGGATCCATGCTAAAAATTAAAGATTACTACAATAGATGCTCCACACTTTTCTTTAATTTATATGACCTACTTAATAATTTTATATGCAGATAGTATCATATTCTGTAGACAAATTTAATATTACACTGGTATGTAAGTCCTGAAACTCTCCCTGCCATCCAAATCCTAGACCTGAGAATGCTTCTTAGAAAAAGATTTTTTTGGTAAATATCAGTACTATTGGCACCATATGCTTGTCAGTAACACTAAAAATGAGATCCATGGACTGGCACACTCCACATACATTAACACAAGAGAAACACATTAAATGTATACAATACTACTAGATATAAGAACTAATAAATCAGAAATAAGAAACTCCGTATTAACATCCAAAATTCCTAAATTTATAGACAACAGTGACATGATTATCATTAAAGCAATAAGGAAAAGATTCTATTTCACATGCTCTATGAAGCATATATTTAACTTAAAGGATTAAATACATTCAACTATCAGTAAGTACTATACACTATATACAATACAAGTGAACCCCCTCAATAATGATGTTCACATCTCTGAAAGTTCTTAAGTTGAATGTTCATAAGTAGAGCAACTGTATTTAATGTGGCGATTCCCTTATACGTACTGTACAGCAAATACACTACTCTACTGATATTCACACATTTTTGTTTTCTTTTCTGCTACATTGATTTTTGCTTCCATTTAATATCAGTAAATATTAAAGATGTTTACTGTATTTACCAAAATATATTCTGATTTCTTTCTAAAAATCATAGTGCATCCTATACATCAGCAAATAAGGTAATACTGTACTACAGTATTATTACTGCCAGCAAAAATGGTTGAATACCACATTTAAATTCATAAAGTTTTGGCTTTACTTTGGCATCCCTTCCCCTTTATTACTGTCTATAAGATTAAGACAGATATATACGGTACAGTATTGAGAATACCTGCCCCCGAAAGCAAAAAAAAAAAAAGAGTTTAAAGTCATAATCAATCATACTTGTTGAGAGCATCCATTTCTGAGTACAACGCTTCCATTTCCTCAATGGGTGGGGATGTGGTACTTGAAGCTGCTGCCACTCCCTCATCTGATGGAGCATCACTTGGTCTATTTTCACCAGAAGTTTCTGTCTCCATGGCCCCCATCTCTCTTGCTGGTTCTGCTGCCTGTAAATTAATAAATTTGGAGGTTACAAATTACAAAATGTACCAAGATATGCAATTGCTTAAAACTACCTTATAAAAAATTTTTTCATGAGGACTGTACATTGAAAATGCACTTTCAAAATGGGTCAGCAACACTGGGAATCACGATCTCAAATGGCCCCTTTGAACAGCTTGAGTATGGGAAGTGAAATGACCAACTAAAGTACTTCAGTGTTGTAAATTTTATAAAATTTTAAGTTCAATCAGAGTACGGTCCTCATATCTGAGGATTGGTCACCACAGTCCTCCGCTCTAAATGTTCTCAGGCTGTTTTAAATTCAAAGAGTCCATAAATCTTTGACCAAAAACTTTTATGTAATGAGAAAGGGATGATACATGACTCCAGAATAAAAGAGACAGATCACAAGTCATAACCCACCTGGCTTACACTGGCAGCCTGATCACTGTCTGGGGTGGATTCTGCAGAGCGAATGGTTTCCTCCCCTAGATGAAGTCGTTGATCCAATTGATCGAGCACTGCAGAGGCACGATCTAACATTGTGCGAGCCTGATGCAGACGAACACCAGATGAGCTGGGTCCTTGTGTTGGAGGAACTTTGGAGATAAATAACTTTGTAACATGGGGTTGAAAAAGAATTTCAAATCACAATTTCAAACATGAAAGGTTCCAAGGACTGGGCAGTATGCAGAGGTAGTAGTTGTAATAACTTTTAAAAATAAACTATCACCCTTTCCCCATAAGTTTACACCCATCTTCTAAATCATAAAGTGCAAAATTATCTCCCTTTTCATTACCAATGTTTGTAATAATCATTCCAAAAACATTTTAAGGTTTTCTTCAATATATAATAAGTATTACAGATGTTTGGCCAAAATTTAATACGTATATACAGCACAATTGTGTCCCCCCTCCCCCCCCATCTACCAAGTTTTGCTTTAAATTTTATACTATAAAACATTGTTACTTTATGCATTGTATATCATAAATGGTGTACCATATCACAAAGTCAAAAACTGATGATTACTTAATAACTACAGCACTGTACATGCCTAACATGGAAGAGTACTGGTATTGCACAGCCCATGCACATTAAACCAGAATTCCTTTCCGTCATAAGTTAAGTGCCCCCAGTGCACAGATTTTGTGGTTTAGAAAGAAAACCTGTTTATTTCAAAGAATTAAGATCCACAAGCAATGTGGTTTGCTATGCCTTGGCATACCACCAATACTGCAAGTGCTTCCTGTACACTAACCTGCTAAGTTAAACAGTTAATGTTCAAAATAAAGTCGATCTTCAAAACTCATCTACGACCTCCACATTGCCAAATCCTTGATGTCCATTACATTGCAGCACACATCGGAAATTTCAAATCAATCCACTGAATCTTATAAGAGGAGTTGTTTATGCAGTGTATATACCCTATCCCTTAATGAAAGTATCAGTGTAAAATAGGAAGTTAAAAAATGTTTCAATTAATTTTGCACCTTTATAATGCAACCTCTATTTTCATTATGTATACAGGTAAAACATTTAAAGCAAATTTCAATCCCATGAACATTGTGGGAGCTACTTATACAAAGTACAGTATATACACTTGACAGACAACCACTCCATCAAGAGCCATAAGGATAAAACTTGATAACCGTTTTACACAGTTGTAATCATAAGGAGTATCTAGCTAATCTATCTTTTTTTAAATGAAGAATTAATTTTTACAGGGTGGCCAAGAGAAAACAAAGACTTCATTTTCCTGTTAGTGAAGTCTATAAAGTTTTCAAGTAAATAAAACGTTTTATTTACTTCCCCCCAAATTCTGATCTTCTAAATACAAACCTATCGACTCATTATCTTCAGGTACAATAAATGATCCAAGAAGAACTTGTGCACCTTCAGGTGGCTGCTGGCGACGGTGATGGTGATGATGATGGTGGTGATGGTGGTGGTGATGGTGGTGACCACTAGGAGATCCAGTGCCAGTAGAACTCGAATTTCCAGCACCATTTCGACTGTTAGCCTGGGGGGGCGCCCTCATCACCAGATGTACTACCTTTTCGTGAACATCTGTAACAATTTCAAATTCATGCAATAAAATACATGAGTTACCCTTAACAATGGATGAAGTGTTTTTAAACTAGAGCATTAGGCATATCCCGGAAAATAAGGGTTTAATCCTAAAAACGTATATCACAAAGCCAATGAGGAGCAACCCCAGAATACGCACGCCAAAGACTTTCAAGGTTTCCTCGGTACACCGCTAGGTCAAGCGGACTGGTGGTAATCCCAAACTCACTCACTTCCCTGTGATAAACATCACTCCAAGTGAAAGATTATATGTCCTGGGAGAGTGGTAAGTAATGATGCTGCAAAGCCTATTTTTCCCAGTGCACAGATCACACCTCATCTGACAATGTTGTAAATCAGGTTCACAACAGTAATCCCATTTACTCTTGCCAATCTCCAAGGAAATCTCTAGGATCCAGGTTGCTCCTACTGGTACAGTGACAAGCAATATTGAATCTTAGTCATTATTTCAGTTAATTATTGTATATCTTCACATCTAGAGATGAAAGACAAATTATTAAAGGATTCAATAGCTCATCAACTTACTATAATCTGAAAGTTTCTTGTCATCCTGCAAGACACGTCCACAGTATATAAGTCTCTGCTTGTCTGCTGGGATGTTAACAGATGATGCTATTCTTTCTTTGAACTGCTTCACAGTAATCTGAAAATGAGGGAATTCATCTTTAATTTGGAAAATATAACACCTTGGATATAGTGCTTGTATAACTTTGAGAGGTTTCTTCCATGTTAACCACAATTAGCGTGAACAAAAGAAATTCTGAAATTCTAGACATCTCATGCATTGAGGTGTAATGACACTGAGAGTAAAACTTTACTACTATTGATATAAATACCTAAGTAAAATACTAGTACACAGTTTAATAACTAATATATTACTTTAAGTCTGTTAATGGTTACTGTATTTAGTAATGCACAGCTAACTATCATAAAAGAAAAGTGAAACTATGCAATCACTTGCAACAACCAAGAATTAAATACATAATAATGCCATATTTCCAGTACAAAAACCACAAGAGTAGGAGTGAAAGAAAATGGGTCCCATAGGCATAACTGCTCAATAGGGACAGTACACAAGGAGGGAGCATGGCCGGTACTGCACTCTACCTTACTACCTTATTCACTTCCTCTAGTTGTAAACTTAGGTACCCATTTACAGCTGGGTGAACTGGGAATCAAACCACTGATCTCTGGAACATAATGCAAGCACAATATCCACTCAACCAAGTAGTAAGTATGACCATATATCACAAGATAAGGGAGTAATCATGGCCACTAATCACAAGAAAAGGGATTAAAAATTGCCAAAAATAACAAGAGGAGCAAGCATGGCTACTGGTTTCAAGAGCATGGAAAAACCTAATGTCAATTGCTGCCACTAAATATTTACCTCATCTGGAACCGAGTACTGATGGTTCTGAGAATCAAGTGTCTTGACCGTGACGTCAATCATCTTGGTGGTTACAGGCTTCTGGAAGGAAGAAAGAATATTTAATCCACAAACTAATGACACCTAAGGTTAGGTTAGTTTTCCTTTTTTAACAATTTCACATAAACAAAGGTACGATATTTGAGGTTAGTTTACAACAATGCATCTTATTAGCCGCTAAGGAAAAATTCTATAAAGAAAACTTGTTTCTTACTTTTCATACCAATATAAAATAGGAAAAATTGCAACTTTCCTCCTTTTTTTATCATGAACCTCCTCACTCTGCTACCATTATCAGCTGTTTACAGAGCACAAAAAAATATATACCAAGTCTCGGATATTAATGCTTCTGATCTGCACAAATAAAAAACCGCCAGTAGCTTTTGAAACTACAGTAATAAAAATTCTTAAATACAGTACCAACAAAAATAATGAGGCTTTGCAGCAATATTTTATTATTAATTGTGGCCAAGGACACAGTTTCATACCTGAAGTGCACCCCCCTCATACCTGTGAATTCTCACCAGGGACCACCAACCACAATTGATTTATAATAAATAAGACAAACCAACTAACCAAACCTAACTTTATTGTAGATTTGGCAAGTTGGACTGGGTGTTAGGAAGAGCTTGCATAGCCAGATAACTCGCTTTCACAAGATTTATGTGTTTTTTTTACATTTGTGCTAAATTGGTAATGTTCCATGTGTGGTTTTGTGTGACAAAATGATAAAAAAAAATTAAATCCATTTTTATTAATCCAACAATATTATCACAGCAAATAACAATACAAGTATAATACCTAAGTCTCCAGTAATCTTTAACCCTAAATCCCAGGTAACGTTCCTTAATGTTCTTAATTTTCATGGCATAATTTGAATGTCCACTCGGGACAAATTACTTTGTATGGGATATTTATTTACTTGGCAACTCAACTCGCACGCAATCTTTGTCTCAATCCTAGTACAGGTAGTCTAATTTTTTTTTCCGGGAATTAGCCCACCAGGGCACAGGTCAAACGACCCACAATGGGGCTTGGGGGGCGAAAAAATAAGAAAAAGGAATTAAAAATAGAAAAGAAAAAGGTTATAAAGTACTGTGTTAATCTACCACGAAGATGCCGTAAAACCAGATTTTTAAAGCGAGACATTGTATGAGTATGGAAACACAGAAGGCAGAGCATTCCACAGTTTGGCTGTGTGAGGAAATAAGGATGTACTATAACGGGTTATTCTAGTGTGACCGACATCCACACAGAAACGGTGGGCACCGCGGGCAAGACGTGTGTTACGAGCCCACGGCCTTGCCGGCAGTACCTGTAAAAGAGAGAGTGAAGCAACATTGCGGTGAAGAGAAAGGGAAGAAAGATTGTCAACTAAAGGAGGAGAGTTAATAAGACGAAATGCCTTTGATTCCACCCTATCTAACAGTTGGACAGAAGAAGAGCCACCCCAGATATGACAGCAGTACAGTACTCCAAGTTAGGACAAATGAGTCCCTTATATACTTGAAGCAACTGCTCAGGAGTGAAGTAGCTACGGCATCTGTACAGCATTCCCAACTTTTGGAAGGCGGTTTTAGCTATGTTGTGAATGTGTGATTTCCAGGACATATTGGAGGAAATGGTGAGGTCCAGCTATCATGACGTCTCATGACCCGCCTCGCCCCTCCACACCCTAGAGACCTAGAGAGGTGCTATTCATAGAGTTGCTTTATTTGAGTGACAATGGTTTAGTTTGGGGTGACAAATACAGTGATGGGGAGTTACAGACCCAGATGTTGAGTTTGGTGAGGCAGCCAGCGGTGCGGACAATAATACAGACAATGGCACTCACTCACCATCCCCACCCTGCCTACTATTCCCTCAGCAAGGCTGTGGTCGCGAGCACCGTGGTGGCCATGGATGTAGGGGACCACGTGCATGCCAGCCACAACAGTACACTCGGAGTGATTGCACTAATTTTACACTTTTTGAACGTGGATTAAAAAAATCATTGCCAAAATATGCCCGCATCTTTAAAAAAATTAAGTGAGGCAGAATCAGACAGGGAACTAGAAGACTACTGGGTATAAATATACTGTACTGCAAACTAAAAAATACTATCATTGAGGCTTACAATTAGTCAACAATATTAACTGTATTATACACTTAGCTGGGAAGGCTGCTCAGCATTAGGATCCCTCGCTAACTAGTGCATCAACCATTCAACCTTAAACCTAGCAGGGGTGATGATGTCTGTGCTGAAATTCCTTGTAAGAAATTCTATAGAAAAATGTAAGTAGGAAAGTTGCAGTTCCTTAATACTATTATTGATATTCCAAGGATAAGAAAAGTCTTCTCCATTAGAATTTTTTCCTAAAGTGCCTCACAGACTGTGAGGCACTTTAGGAAAGATAAGGAATAAAGAACAATATTGCTACTTGCTACTGAAAGTCTGAAATATTAAATTTTAGAACCTCCTCCACGCTCATTGGATGATCACTCGTGACAACTAAAATGGTACAATGGCACCACCAAGAAAAATAATCCAGTTTGTTTTTATTATGAATCCGAATCGAGATAAAGGTGGAGGAAATGGTTATCACCAGAAGGAACTTACAGAATTGGACCAAAATTTCCAGATGTTATTTGCAGGGTACCGGTACTAAAAAAAAATTAATATGACAATGCACAGAACCTAACGGGACTTGATGTAACCTAACCAAATCTAACTTCAAACCAGGGGCAACGCCCCCTGAACCCCCGCCATATAACCAATGGTTATTTGGCCAACCAGCACGATCAAACAACCGATAGTTATGTGGCTGACCAGTGTGGCCATATCACCAATAGTTATTTTGGCAGACCGGCATAGCCAAATTACCAATTATAATATCTATTAGCCGGCCGGCATGACCAAATTACCAATAGTCATTTGACTGGCCGGCGCAGTCAATCCACCACTTCGTATAAGTTAATATGCTGTATATTTGCACGAACTCTGGTATTATCATCGTTTCGGTCATCCAGCGAATTTTAGGATTTTAAGTTACCACCGTACGAGAGAGCTCCTGTGGGTTTGTTTGTTTGTTACCAGTACTATGCTGCATGTGTAGTTGTTCATTGGGCATTGATTGGTCGGTATGATTTTGTATCAACCAATCACAGCTCGGTATTGGTTAGATTACATTGAAATCATGTTTTCCAGTGGTTTTTGATGTGTTTTGAATGATTCTGACCTTCGTTTCTATCGCAAATTACTACTTTTGTGATTTTATCCCACCCAAAACCCCTGGTTCCCACTGGGGATCCCCCATTATCGTTGGATAAGGGGTTGGGGGTACTTCAAAAAGTAGTGATTAGCGGTAGAAATGAAGGTCAGAATCATTCAAAACACATCAAAAACCACTGGAAAAAAACAACAACTTCAACTTCCAAATAGGTGGATGACCTAATCAATAATTTTACCCAAACTGTAATGTATATGTTTATGCATGCTAATTCGCCCCCCCACCCCCCATTCTTTCTACAAGGTCAGTTTCTTAAATCATCAAAAACAGGCTTTAATCCTATATCAACCAACCAAAGGTCTAAAAGCAGTTATAAAGTTTGGTATTATTTTACTTTCGGACATAGCGCCCCAGAAAGTTACAAACTGCCGAAACATTTACATCTCGCTATTCTGAGCATTTTGAACCACATATATATATATATATATACATGGCAGAAATGGATAATAGCAACACAATTGAACTTAATTAATTTTAAGTAGTTTTCAATCTTCGTCTGTGAGATGATGTTATCGGCGAATCACGCAAGCGCAATGTTGACTGAATTCATCCAGTCGTGAGCAATGAGGTATCGATATCGCCAAGCGAATTTTTTTCGACCAATCACATTTTATTTTTTTTAAAAGGAAGCAGCCTGGGTACGATTTTAATTTCATTGACCAGTTTCACAATGGCCGTGGTGGAGGTTGGTTGTCGTTTGTGCTCTTACGATCATTTTAAGTTTATTGCCGAGTTTTGCGAGGAAGATCATTCTATCCAATTCTTATGTATCCCTGGTCCTGCCATTTCTAACTAAGATATTGTACTTTCGGACATAGCACACTCCAAAGTTCTTAACTACTGAAACATTTCAATTAATTTAAGCTAGGCCTACCGCGGGTCTGGGGGCGGAGCCCCCAGCTACGAGTTAAGTTAATTAGGTTAGGTTTTGTTAGGTCAGATAATTCGTTTTCGTTTTCCCCGCCACCCAAAAAACCCGATTTCCCAGGCTCTACCCCATTATTGCGGGGGGAAAGCAATTTCCACCAAAAATGAAGGTCAGGTTCGTTTAAAACGCACCAAAATACACTGGAAAACATATTGGTCAACCCCGAGGGACTCGTGTCCTAAAGTTTCCCTACTTGACTCGACCAGATGTTAACAGGAAACTTTGATCTCCCATTATACAACTTACGAATATTAAAAACACAAAAAAATGAATATGTACAGTAAACTATCTGCTGCAAATGTAATAAAGTGGTACCCTCTGTTTAACATTAACTTAGCCTTCCATTTCACCCCATCCTCAGAGAAACACCGTCTGAGGTGTTACATTTCAAGTGTCAGCCAATTAACCAGAGGAAAACATGATATCTACTCTACCCCCTTACGTCATATCATCCACCTACACCCAAATTCTTCTATATTTCTTTTAATTCTGCTTCTGTTAACTTAATAAACTAGTCTGGCCGCGGCTGTTGTACACTCGTATCTGCAAGAAGGTTTATGATCTTAAAGATAAATTACCAAAACGTTTCCCCCCCCCTTGTTCCTCCTGCTCTGAGCCGCGACGCCCTGACACACAAGGGTCACACACACACACCTCTCACTCTCTCTTTCCACTCTATTATTTACTTCACTCGGTACCTCCTTGGTATCCAGTAACCTCCTACGATAATATAAGGTATATAGTACTGACCTAAAGCCCGGGTACAATCATGAATGTTGTGATGTATGTGACGGGAAGCAGTAACAGCTGACGGCTAGTATGGCTCTCCGTGTTGCGTTGTCTTCCCCAAGTGAACATCTACTGGCGTACCCGCGCACGCAACTCATAGGTGGGTCTTTTATCATTAATACAGTAGTTTACAATGATATTACGGTTGCAGATATTATGTATGTGATGAGTAAATGAAATATGTTGTGTTAGCACCGTTTTTGTGTATTTTATATAGATATTTAAAAAGGTATTTAAGTTTGTTTAGTCAACTGTCAAGGTACCGCATCCTAGCATATTCATATATTATGAATTATAATTTATGATACCACTTTATGTACCGTCTAAGTAGACTTTAAGATGTACAATATTTAGAGCTTAGACTAAACATCACTTTTTCATGTACAATTGCTTTCCAAATAATCGCTTATACGTAAAAGAAAGTAACGTTAAATGCTCTATTTTGGAAGATTCTGGATTCTGCTTGAAACTGTTTTCCCGTTGCGGCATCAAAATCGTATTTATTTTCCTTAGGGTATTCAAAAATTATTAACGTAAGTTTATTTTATTATTATACTTTATCAGATCTTTTAAGTGTAAAAAAACACACTGATTTAAGGTAACAAGGAAAGGATTGTATAGGTGCTGGAGGAGCCAGGATAACAGACAGTGAAGTGGAGGTGGGGGTTGGGGGGCATGTGTTTTGTAGTGGATATCTCCCCTACAAACGCTGTTTGCCGCTGAGTAACCGACCCCACCAATTCCCCAGTGTATGCCTCGTGGTCTACGTAGGTCAACCAGCGCCGCCATACACCACGGAGCGGGGGTCAACTACTAAGCCACGCCAACCCCCGCTATTTAAGACCTGACCTAATGGTGACCTGCCTCTTTCTACCTACAGCCGCAGCCAGCAACACCTCCTCCGCCGCCGCTGCCTGGTGGTCCTCGCTCCCGCCGGCGAGCATGGCGACTCACAAGCTGTCCTTCTCTGAGCATCCTCACCTGAGTGAGAACCAAACATCTCATACCCCACAGTTTCTTTATTTTCACCACTGATGGGGCCACGGCTCGTTAGCCGCTTGACCGGTCGGCCACATCTTTGCTACTTACTGTTTGCAAGTATTGGGCCCCTGGGCATGTACTGGCTCCAGAATGCAAGTCCTTGCCAGAATGTATCTGTACCTGCACTAATGTTGATCAAGTTTTAAATGAGCTTACAACGGTGCCACACGTCACAACACTCCCTGACATTTTATTCCAAGAGTTCACAACCCACACTGCTAAAAAAAAGTTTGTCCTGGCATTTTCTGAACTTGTCGCTTCTTCAACCTTAAGCTGTGACCCCTAGTGAGACGGCCCGCTCCAAGTATGAACACTAGACTTCAGTTAAATCATCCCTTGCCCGCCTATAATATAAGCTAGGCAACAACAGGCTTTTAATCTAGAATTACCATACGTCCGTATTTTCCAAGACATGTCCTCAATTGTGGTTCTTAAATCTCCATCAGGGAGGAATTTTTAAATATCTTAAAACGTCCGGTAATTTGCTCTTATTTTATTTCCCCAAAGATGTCGATACGAAATTGACCATGTGAAAAAATTAGGAATAAAATATTCATTGGTTCTTGGGAGGAAGAGTGTTGATTGGTTCACTTGTCTAGTTCGCAGCATCGCTCAGTTTTCGTCCTGGACAGGTACGAGTTTTCCAAAGTCTCTTCCCCTGCACATTCCAATTACAGGAAAAAATGACGAACGAACGTTTGTGTTTCGGGAATAAGAGGAGGCGAGAGTTAGGGCAGTACGGAAGATAAGTGGTTCAAGGTTACCTGCACAGCAAAACATTCCCCAACTAAGCCTCAGCTATGAGGTAATTGTGACCAAGTGTGTGACCGGCCATCAGGAGAAAGTCTTGGAGGTGATGGAAGGAAAATAACGCGGCAGGATTTTTGAGAATTAATTGCATAAATTTTGCCAAGATGGTCATGGATTATCACGGAGAGGATCAATGAGGAATGATAAGAGGATGAAAGATAATAAGTAGTATAGTACCACATTGGAAATGCCGCTTCTTGTCCAATTAAGTAGTTCAGCAACGTTGGGTCTGGTTATGTTAGGTTTGGTTAGGTTAGGAAATAAGCATCTCATGGCTTTGTCAGCTGTCCTTGATAAAATTTACGAACATTTTTAATTAAACTGAACTGTAAACGCACCAGAAGCAAAATTGACCAAGATGACAAAAACCCCTTGTAAAATGTTTTTTTTTACATAACGAGACAAAAAATAGACCTAAAGTAGAAATGTCAGGTACAAAGGCACTGATAAATGACAAAATGATCCAAAATGAGGAAACATTACAAATTTACAAATAAAAACGCAGGCAGAGGTCAGACAAGTGTCACTGTCAAAATGATGTCATATTTATATTATAATGTATTACTGAGATAGAACTACCACGGTCTTTAAGCAAGTATTCTAGGTTAGTAAATGCACTAGTCACCAACACTTAAAGATTCTATTCACCGAAGCGCCCCTTTGCCAAAGAGAGTTAAGATACCTGCACCAAGGAGAGATAGTTATTCATTCAGTAAAATCGTCAATCAAGTTCATATAGGTTAAGCATGTACACAATACGACTATCGTAGACAATAGGTATAATGTATTGTTGTTGTGAACATTGTTACGTGTTCAGTGTAAAGGTAAACAATGCACACACGTCTGTTGGTAAAATTTCTTTAATCTTGCACTTCGTTACAAACACCAAACCAAACCTATTATATATGGTGCTTTTCACCCAGTACTCTGCTGCCCCTTGCTGGGAAGTTCTTTTCAAGTGAGCCTTAAGCCCTAATAGGCCCCAACCTACCCTCGCTAGTCTAGCCAAACCTAAACTAACTTAACCTAACCCAAGCTAGCCTAGCCTAACCTGAGCCTAACTTAATTCCGCCCAACCTTATCTAGCTTAACCATGTGGTCTAGGCTCAATTGAACTGGGACTCATTAGGACTGAGCTCCATGACTATTGGCTAGGTTGGGTTAAATTATGATGTACTAGGGCCGGGGACTAATTCACCTTACCTTAATGCACAGGGAAATGATCATGAAGCTAAGATGACGTCACTGGGCCCAGGAACCCCAAAAGCTTCGTGTATTGATTTATCGCCCTAACTGGAGACACGGGAACGCTTCTAACTGGATCACTAAAGGGGTCATGTCAGGGATTCAGAGTCGTCACCATAATGTTCCTGGTACCTGTGTGTGTGTGTATGTCCATGTTACCCTCATGGACTACAGTAAATTGCCAAAGCAGCTACTCTACTGTCACTTCAGAATGGAAAACTTAATGCTGGCGGACAACGGAAAAGGTATAAGGATAGCCTTAAGACAAAACTGAAAAGTGCCAAATCGACCCCCTCACCTGGGAGACGATCACTCCACACAGTAACGCTTGGAGGAGCACCACACGAGGTGTCAATACTTCGAGTTAGCTTGACTGCATACCGAGGCAGACAAGCGCCAGACGCTGCCGCCGCCCCTCCCGCACTAGATGTAGCCTCCCACAAAGTCTATAGAAGTCTATAGACCTCGCCCCTCCACACATGCAACATCTGCGGACGACTCTGTCGGTCCCGTATCGGCCTTATGAGTCACCTCAGAGCTCACCAATGAAGGTGACATCACTAATAACTCATATCATTGTGTCACCGATGGATGATCGTCATACTCGATACCGAGTGACAGCAAATTATTATAATTATTATTATTATTAGTAGTAGTAGTAGTGTGTGCGTGTGTGTATGTGTGGGTGTGTGTGTGTGTGGGTGTGTGTGTGTGTGGGTGTGTGTGTGTGTGTAAAAGAGACGTTTGTGGTGTCTGTGGTCGTAAAAGTTAACTTCCTGCCAACTTTGAATCCTTAATCTTAAAAATGGACGAAAGTGTTAGTGTGTTAGGGAGTTAAATGTCTTTCCATTACACCTGAATTTGTTTAACCATTGACACATTATGAACATCTCCATACACAAGTTCTTATAAGTTTTAAAAGATCTACCCTTATAAACTTTTAACCCCTGAAATAACCATTTAAGCTACGATAAAAAAGATGAGCATCAATGTGACATCAAAGTTACAACAAGTATCTACTGTAAGAGAGTTCTCGAATCCCTCAACACGAAAGAAATAAAAACAACTACCTTATGAACCTCTCAGCATCCCAGCACTAGTCCGGAAACATGCACGATATTTCTCTCATCTCCTGAAACAGGAAGTAGAAGATTACCTCACCAACTTTTCAGATGCTAGTGCACTGGTCCTGAAGACATGTGGGATAATTCTCTCAAGTTATTCTCCCGTAACGTTCTGTCTTTTTTACCGCCATACCTCGACACAAACTCGTGAATTTGGCGCTTAAAGTCCTCCCAAGCAGCCAACCTACTGCCCCAGTCTCCTCAGCGGCAACTGAAACATGGAAAACCGGGAAGGTCAGCTGTGTGTGTGTGTTAAGACGAAGACCCTCATGTAGCTGACCATGAGTGCTTCTGAGTGGAGTGCGGCTCACGAGACACGTTTGGCCACCTCCTACAGAAAACACACAAAAGAATCCTCCTACAAGCGGCCCTGATTTAACCATTTAATGATTTTTTGGCAATTATTAAGTTTATTTAATTGATGGGATTTATACTAACATTATATTATATTAATATTTAGATAGTTCACCGATTATTTTAATTGTGTTAACTTAATTCCCTAATATAGAAAGAAGGCATTTTGTATTGATATGGCAACACTTCATGATCAACTCGGTGTTCTGCTACCGGTGGTTGTGTTTACCTGTGATGTATTGTATGGTAATCGCACATAGATATTGTATACCGTCCCCACCTTCCCAATTTCGTCTTCAGGTGCCGCATAATATGGGAGACGGTGTATTAAACGTATCATTACTTGTTTCTTTTGTTCTTATTATTTGAAGTTATTGACAATTCTATTAATAGATAAACATTTTCTATAACTCATTATGAAACTTTCGTGGGCGTCATGGTTATCGAAAATGAAAATGCACTGAAAACCAAAATATTCAATCTTGTGGCCTTC